GACTAATTTTCAGGTTAAATAGAGTACTTTCTTTCTAAAAGATGTTGACCACCAGCATGAATAGAGTATATCCTTAGCAAGGATACTGTCTTGATATTTTGATCCTCAGCAAGAACATGGGATCAAAGGTGTTGAACCTTTTGAAGGATAAGAAGTAGAATATTTTGAAAATATGTTCCAAAGACTAGTGCTGTCTCGACATAACGGATGTGATACAAACATGTTATGTAAGAGTCTAGACTGAAGATAGAAATAGAATCGCCTCATCAGGATCGGCTGTGCGGACAGTGGCTGATGAGAAGTACGCAAACCCAGGGTATACTAGAAGCATGTAATCTCCAGAACGAGGCCACCTCACGATCCTGCCTGACACCACATCAACCCACTGGTCAAGAGGCAGTTGTCCGTGGCTACAGACAGCGTCCTGGGATAGGTATACCGCTAGTTCAGCAAGTCCGAAATATAGGAAAAGGTTGTCCATTTAGAGGTGAAAGGTGAACTAGAAATAACTGCCTTAATTATCGGTGGTAATGACATGGCTTAAAGAAGGGGATCTATGCAGACGGGGCTTCTATACAAAGGAACGTGCCTCTTGCAATGTAAATTAGCGTAACCTTACTGCCTATATAAGCAGGACATGCTCGGGATTGGAGCGACATAATCTGAATGAAATCCCATTAAGTTGTCATTCAAGTATTTGCCTTGCCAAACCATCAACCAAGGCCGTGACAGCGATCCTGTGAACGGGATCACATGCAGCCAATATCAATGGGAGTCGCTTCTGATATCATTAGGAATCCATTCTGTCCCCAGGATTCCTCCACATGGGGTTCTGGGGACCTATTTTGTCCCCAGGATTCCTCCAAATGGGGTACTGGAGGCCTATTCTGTCCCCAGAATTCCTCCACACGTACTTGGGAAATATTTTGAATCCTCCACAGGTACTGGGCACCTATTCTGCCCCAGAATCTTCCACATACGCTGACGACCTATTCTGTTCAGGATTTCTCAACACCAGACATTAGGTACAGGTACCTGCCCTGTCACAAACATTACTTTCCCATATGTACAATAGGTCAAGTTCCGTGTGTGCTTTGTTGAGAGGAGGAGCGAATATTCAAACCACGCGGTGGCCATTATGTCTGTTAAGGCAACAAGAGTTATCGAACTTAGAAGGATATCCTCTGAAACACTCGTAAAATATCCTAAATAGTCTTCATTTCGGTAGCTGATGTACGCGATTATATATTAAAGGCGGGTGTTCAGGAGTGTGGCCCTGGGCCTGGTCAAAGCTGTCTTTCGAGGAAAAACAAAGCAGTATTCAAGTACGTTCCATGAAATATCACAAAATTGACTTACCGATTCTTGATATGTGGCATATAATACACATATAATGATGATATTAAGCCTTAGTACAAAGAAGTAAGTTATGAAGACTCACTGCAAAAAGTATTAATGCAGACTTCAAAACATACAGTTTGAAAATATGTTTCTCTTTTTGAAATCCAGATTTGAATTTCCCACTGTATCTGTCAGGTGGCCAGAGGAGGTGTGTTTCCATAGCAACAAATCTGCTAGTGGAAGAAAGTTTCATTCACGGTTTCATGATTTACTTTATTTCCCAAGGCAGACAGTGAAAATGGCCCCCTCATCACTCACCTGATGCCCTGCTGAGCAGGGTTAGGGTTGTACACTTATTTGCTGCTGAAATCAACATGCTGAACATTGTATTCTGTCTCGAGAGGTTTTTATTTGTTTAGTGTTTTTTTCTTCATTATCAACACTTTAACCAGTTATATTTAGTTGCGTTTTATGGTAAACATTTGATCTTTATGATAAAATAAAACGTACAAGATCGTGACAATAATATACCACACTGTACCTCTCCAACCATTAACCCCAAACCTTCAAATGAACTATTGTAAAATGATTGAAATTTGTTGTGAATATGACTTAAATGAATTAGGAACAAGTTTCAGCAAATATATACTTTCAAGATTATTACAAATTTAAATTTCATATAAACTTATCAAATGAATCTGTCATTTTTGTTTTCATAATATGAAGGGAATGGTTATTGGACATTTACTATAAGGCACATGTTTATTCTAGGAGTACATTCCAATGTTACCCTTTGACATCGCCTGGTCCTCACCAGGCACCCATAGCTGTTACAGTCCTGTCACACATGGGCAGATAAAATTATCTGCTGGGGAATAGCCAATGGGAGACATTTTGCAAACTCATGGGATTTTTAAAAGTTTGCACTCTGAGCCTTTAAGATATTGCTTGAAAAAGGACTACAGGAAGACAATTATTACAATCTGATACTCAGTGACACTATGAACAGACATCTATGACATTCTACTTCATCCAGAAAAGCACATAATTGTAAACATCTCTTCCTTTAAAAAATATTAACACATTCTTTTTTCAAAACAATTTATTCATAAAATAGATTTCCTCCAGAAAATGATCAGGCCAAATGCCAAGCACTGCTCTCTACACAAGCGTTCAGACATATCTCATATTTGCATATTATCCATTAAAGGTCAAATCTACATTTATGTCTAAAGTTTACATGTAAGTAGCACATTAAGGAAACCCTGCAATATATTTCACCTTTGAAAATAGAAACAGGCAAATTTATTGGAATATTGGAATCTTATACATAAATGATCAGAATTCTCATAAGCAATGTTTGGATCGGAATGGATGCTATTTGACAGATATCTGCATGATAAAATACATGCAATCAAATAGGTAACTTAGTATTTTGTTTTCAATTAATATGCTCAATATTCACCAAGAGACTGTTGTACATCCAGCTCTACAGTCAACTACAATCAAACCATTTCTCATCCCCTAAGAGATGTAATTATTGTTCAGATAAATTACCAGCTAAGTATCTGTGTTTAGTGAAATTAATTATGCGTCTTTACATTGAGGCACTGAACATAAGTTGAAGACTAAATACAAAAAGCAAGCATATAATAAGGAACTATTTCAACAAAATGGAAATGAAACAGCAAAACATAAGAAAACATTAACAACTGAAAACAAGATTCACAACATCAAAAGTAAATTGAATAAATAAGGGACATTGCGAGGTGTCATTCTGGGCAAAATGGCCACAAATGTGAAAATAAGTTGTTCTGGCTGTTCAGGCAAAGAGACTGCAAACACAAAAATGTTGTGGTTTGGGTTAGAATCTCATTGGACGAGTTTGGAGATCGAAGAACCCATCTACTCTCTAAGTTTTAGTATATGTAGGTCTATCTATCTCTGCCAGAAAGATTTAAGCCCACTTTTACTGTATGTTGCACAAATGTCCAGAATAGAATGACATCAAAGAAAACTTAATCCATTCACAAAAACAGAAAGTCACTGATATCCGAAATACTGTATAAACTAAACAATATTACATTCACCAAACAAACTTTGTAAATCTTTCCAAATGCCAACTGTATTGTTCATGTCCTCATCCAACAAACTTTTCTCTCTTTAAGAGACAAAGATAACAAAGGAAGTAACTGTCTACCTTTAGACTAACCAGTAGCCTGTCACACGGGACAATTTTCTTCTTCTCATAATCTCAACATCAAAAACATGATTAATATAAATAAATCAGTAAAGATTTCTTTTATGAATGCTTATGAAAACTTCATGATATAAATTGTAAAGATGGTGAGACATGTGGTGTGTGAATAGTGTGGCTTGAACAAAATGCAATTCCACTTTTATGTTGCCTAGCCTTATTCTTGAGAGACTACTGCTCTTGGTAGTTAGACAGATAATGAGAGTAGACTCATTAGACTTACACAAAAGAAATTTAGTGAAATGATTCAACAGACTTATAGTAGAATCTAGCGAAAAGATACTTCATTAGACTTACAATAGAAATCTACTGAAATGATTCAACAGACTTATGTCTATTCATTGCTGATAAATTGATAATATAAACTAAAAAAGCTCTTCTTAACTCATCAAAACTGTGTGTTGTTGGAAATTCAAATGTAATTTAGGTGAGTTATTTGTTTGACATGTCAAAACTGGCGAACAAACAAGAACCACACCATGTTGATTTCCACTAAGATAGACTTAGGACAAGTCAGAACCTATCCTAGTATTTGTCCTAAGTTAGGATATCCTAGCACTAGGATACTTTTCGAGAATAAGGTTGGACACCTATCCTAGACCCTAGGATCAAAGTTAGGATATCCTAGGACTAGGATCCTTCCGAGAATAGGGGCCCAGGGTAATGACAATTTACAAGACTTTCGATGGGAAACTAGAGTAATAACAAACAATGATGTATATGCTCATTATAATGATACAGTCTAGATATTACATATATCAGTGCACCACTAATATGGCAATGCCGCAACAAGACAGAAGACTGACGACAACAATGGAGAGGTAAAACATACAACCCTACCTTGATTTGTGTTCTGAGATTGTTACATATAAACCTGAAGGCTGCTTCTCACTATATATTAGACATGGCTTCTTTTCCCGGAATTACCGCATTTGAGGTTTTTGTTTGCTCCCAGGTTTTACTTTTTGTAAGTAAGACCTATTTACCGGTTTTACTTTTTGTAAGTAAGACCTCTTCCCAGGTTTTACTTTTTCCCAACTCTATATTAACATCAACATTCAAATGCAGATGATATGTTAGTGTTTTGAAATTAATTACAAATATTGTCAAAGATCAACTTAAATGTGCAAATGTTTTCCCTAGAAGGATTGGAACCGCATATTTCAGATTCATAAGCGGACGCTCTACCTCACAGCCACCGGGCCGACAAAGAACGAGGGTTGAATTATGTATTTATAGTTAGGCCTACTGTCATTCAATTGATTTTACTAGCGCTTCAGTTACTGTTATGTAGCTTCATTACATGATCATCTAATTATCCATCATTGACGGTTTATATGTATAATAAAGCACTCCTCCTCGGTTATGGTTGGGAAAGTAAGCCCTCGACCATCGGGTGGAGAGAAGTTATGGTTGGGAAAGTAAGACCCGAGACCGGAGGGTGGGGAGAAGTAAGACCAAGAGCGCATAGCGCTCGAGGTCTTACTTCTCTCCACCCGATGGTCGAGGGCTTACTTTCCCAATCATAACCTCGGAGTCGTGCTTTATCCTACACATAAAGTGTACAATAAACAGCCGGAACAAACTGCTCTTTACAGGAGAAACCTGTGAATAGATTAGACACCAGATATAATAAGGGGTATTTGGAAATACTCTCGATCAGCTACAAGTGGTTTCTATAACACCTCCAAACAACATTCAGATACTGGATACATACATATATTTAAGTATTTAAGTAATTTGAACAAAATTAAAATATCAAATCAGAGATTCTCATAATTTGAATGTAAAGTCCTAAAGAAAAATATACAGTTGCCAGATATGTCTGGGATATGATATGAATATAGCAGACAAATAAACGTTTGCTTCCCCGTCATGATGCCAACCAACCTGTGGCAGCAGACGAAATTAACACTGAATAGGCTTCGGCTCCTCCCAGGGGAACTCGGAACGCCCGAAGTGCCCGTAGCTGGCCGTCTTCTGGTAGATTGGTTGACGGAGATTCAGTTCACTGAAAAGGTAACAAGAAAGATAAACCACAGGTAGGGTAGGAGCGAGTGAGTGAGTATGGTTTTATGCCACTTTTAGCAATATTCCAGCAATATCACGGAGGGGAACACCAGAAATGGGCATCACACATTGTACCTGTGTGGGGAATTGAACCCGGGGTCTTCAGGGGGACGAGCGAACGCTTTAACCACTACTCTACCCCACCGGCCCAGGTAGCGTAGGAATAGTGCGTTACTTCAAGTTGATATTAACAACGCGTGTAAGCATTGTATGAGCCAGGGTATTGAGTAAAAGGGGTGGTGGGCTGGTGAGGCAAGGGCAGTGTGGTGGTGATGGTGGTGATGGTGGTGATGGTGGTTGGGTGGGTGTGGAGTATGTGTGTAATGCATGATGGTGGTGATGGTGGTTGGGTGGGTGGGTGTTGTTATGTGTGTAACGCATGTGTTAGGGCTGGAGTGGTCGGCCAAGTTTCTTTTTTGGATTGCTCCAGAAATGGAGAGGGTCATAGGTCATGAGGTCATGTGAGGGCCAGTGTGCATGTGTAAGTGGAGAGGTGTGTTTGAGCAAAATGTTTTTTCTGTTCTTGGGGAACATAAAACAAAATGATTCCACTATATCTCGGGTAAAGTGAAAATGAAGCAATGAGTCAGGAAAAGGACAATATTTTGATAGCTGTTGGGGATTTTTGATTCTATATAATTTTGTCAATCAGAACTGACAAGATAAACAAGTGGTCACATGAATGAGAAATGAAACTATGTAACTTACTTAATAATATTTCCAGGTCGAAGGTCAAAGTTTTTCTTGACGATGTCACCCAGCTCATTTATACTTTTGGAGGATGTGCCATAGTCAAACACAGTCACTGACACTGGTTCAGCCACACCGATGGCGTAGGACAACTGAAACATACATTGTCCATCTACACAAAGAATAACACTCAATAGCAAAACATCACGGCCCTTATTCTCAAAACGTTCATAGCCCTAAGAATTCTTACTTTGATCGTAGCCAATGTGTTAAGAAGGGGCTTAAGAAGTTCGTAGGGCTACGTACGTATCGAGAATAGCTAGCCAGGTATATACTGGCTGCCGAACAGTTATCGCCAATACATCTGTATCATGCGTGCACAGTTCTGCTCAATTACACTTTGGGAAATTTTTTCCCATGGTATTTGATAACAATAAAGGACAGCTAAAGAAAATTCTTCACGGTAAGTAACATAAGAGAAAAATTAAAGATAAAGTTATGAAACATATAAAATTATTTAACTTAGTTGTCAGAGGTGTGGAGGGGGGATGTCACACAATCCATACAATAGGAAGTTCACTAAAGTCATTAACTGTTTCATTCCCTACCAATCTACTATAAAAAAACACACAAGTAGTCACACAATCAATTATTCAAGGGTGAGGAATTCTGAAATGGTGATAACTGTTACAGTCAACTGTGAGGAAACACCAATTTGTACTGCCATGATTCCCTTCCACCGTGTTATATAAAAACATGATCTGTGGTATCGAATATCATAATTAATTTTGTTTAATTAATTTAATGAATGGCGAGGTAATTTGGTAAATACCACTAAAATATGATGACAACTGTTGGCAGCCAGTAGAGATTACTATATGAACATGTGTTTCATACTGAATTTATGAACATGATGAAATGACTATCTTCATCATCACTATTATGTATGTACATTCATATCCTCAGGAAAGTAATTGTTTTTATAGCCATATATAGCCGACATATTGCTGATGAGGCTGAAAGATACATTTACTCACTCACTCATTCAATATGAAATGACATTCTTGTATTTCCTAATCAAGGGCAACGGTTATACATTAATTCTTTAATCTTACACAAGTTTCATTAAAATCCGTTGGACTCACATGACAGTGTAGTAATGTTTTTGTTACCCAATATTTCTTATATATAATCCTTATATCTCCACTTTCGAAAAATGTACCATCTTCGACGTGAACAACTATCACAAAATGTCAACAATCTAACAATCAAAACATGATTGAATGAGTTGCATTGTACAACATGCACATGTTTCCAGGACCTTTTCTAACCCTGAACCCCCTACAGGAAAATCTAACAGTACAAAGTGAAGTAAAGTAGAGTTTAGTCCACAACATGTCTGGGGGTCTGACCTGAACAAGAACTCTCTTGCAGAGTCCAGCCTTGACCAGCGACAGTGCAACCCAGCGAGCAGCGTAAGATGCACATCGGTCAATCTTTGTTGGATCCTTCCCGGAGAGTGACCCGCCTCCATGAGCTCCCCATCCTCCATATGTGTCCACGATGATCTTCCTGCCGGTCAGTCCTGCGTCACCCTGAACAGAGGAAACAATCTGTGAGTGAGTGAGGTCGGTTCTACCCTTCTTTCAACAATATTTCAGTCATATCCCAGTGGTGATGAAGGAATGTCTGAAGTGATGTGGAACTCAGGCGTTTACCATCACTTTAGTGAAATCCATAAGGATCAGTATGGTGCTGGTACCAGGTCTTGAAACTACTATCATAGGTTTCTGGTACTCCTGAGGGAAAGAATTCCAGACAATGAATAGGGGAACTGCAGCTGTGATAACTGGGGCTCCCAGACAACCATTCTTTTTAAAAAACACATTTAGGGACTTAGGTATCATAGGTAGTGGATCATGAGTGAGTGAGTTTGGTTTTACGCTGCTGTTTACGCAGCAATATTCCAGCAATCGTGTGTGTGTGTGTGTGTGTGTGTGTGTGTGTGTGTGTGTGTGTGTGACCAGAAATCGGCTTCACACATTGTACCCATGTGGGGAATCAAACCCCGGTCTTCAGCGTGATGAGCGAACGCTTTAACCACAAGGCTACCCAACCATCAGTGGATCATGAAATATATCCCAGACTAGTCTTTGTCACTGTCTTAGACCAACATAATACTAACCACTTACTGCAGGTATCAGACCATTTTTTCATAAGAGACCAAATTTCAATGAAATCAACTTATATTGGTGTTGAAGTTGTCCAGAAACCAACACGTGACCATGGAACTGTTGACAGAATCTTCATCGCTGTATGAGCACTCTGGGTTTGTTACCAGTTGCTGGGCTCCAGATAATGTTTTAAGCCACTGAGTATTTTTACTCTCATGTTATCATTTACATTGGGTCTTCATATTTTTCTTTAGGTCCTTGGATCCAGTGTACTGTGTACTATTATACCAATGAACAGGTGACTTTCAGGTGACTTTTAATTTTCATCTGTTCATGTGCCTAAATTTGTCACACAAGTACACAACGTGAATTATTAACTGCAGTGGAGGTCAAATATAGCCATTCGACCAGTAAATACAGGCTGATGTAGTCATAAGGTACACAAGCTGAATGGGCTGTGCTGGGCGATGACACAGTATATTCTACTGCTGGGTTTTTCAAACTGATCATGCATTTTCATATGCAAGCGTTTCAAACTTAGTTGGGTTATGGTGATCTGTTTTGCCACTCTTACATCTGGCACTCTGCAGCTCAGTTAAGAGAGAGTGGTCTTGCTTGATCTGCTGCATGGGTTCCAGAGAGTTTATACTATCAGTACAAGGAACTATACCTGAGGCCCCCCAATGATGAACCTTCCCGATGGCTGTAGATGGCAGATGGTCCGGTCGTCCAGATACTCCGCAGGGATGACTGATCGGATGACCTTGCTCATGAGATCATCACGTAGCTTCTCCATGGTGACATGTTCATCATGCTGGATGGAGATGACCACTGTGTGGACCCGGATGGGGATGGTGGCGCCACCTTCAACTCGATATTCCACAGTTACCTGTACACAGGCCAAAATAATTTATTGAGGAAATATGTTTTGTCAATTATTGAATTGACTTGGATTGAAAAATATGTTTAATTAATGTCTCCAAATACAAGTATCCATCATAAAATCTGTGAGTGAGTGAATATGGATGATTTTACACTGATTTTAGCAATATTCCCGTAATATCACAGCGAGAAACACCAGAAATGGGCTTTTCTCAGTGTACCCACATGAGAAATTGAACCTAGGTCTTCGGCGCAAAAGCGAAAAATTTAAATACTAGGCTCCCCCACCGCCCCTTAAACTCTGTGAATAAAGAGACCATGGGATACCATAAGAAACAGTGGCATAGCAGCCAGTGAACATGGTTGGTTTTAGAGGTGAAACAAGAAAGCAAAGTCATGATACGATATGTATCACATTACACAGGATACACTAAACATCACAATATGCATTTTGGAAATGTTTTAACTGTAAATATTTCAGACCAGGTTCAAAAGGAAAAGCAGACTGTAGAAACATGGGGGCTATTTTAGTGAACTCAAAACACAAATTACAACACTGACAAAAATGCTTATTGGTCCTTAAAAAAGAAGTAAATCTTTAGGCATGTGTGTCAGGTTGTGTTTATACAGCAATTAAACATATCTATATTGTATCGCTGCATGACAACTCATGATGTGCAAGTGTAACATTTCAGTCCAAGTTGGGGTTTCTTATTATGGTTAATTATCTGTATATTTGGTCATTTATGGTACATTATACTCTATAAACAGCAAAATCAAATTGTAATGTTGGAATCAAATATACCACAAATAAGATAATGATTAGGTGATAACAAATAAATCATTCTTCAAGGAAAAAATGCTATAGGAGAATATAATATTTCATAAGTGAACTTCACACCAGTTTGAGATTCTTCCTTGGACAAAGTCTTATAAAAACATGTCTTCATCTTTCTCTACCAGGTGTTTCCTAGATACCTGCAGTAAAGGCTACACACAGAGGCCCTGTGCCTCCCTCAGCCTGTGGGAAAGTCCCCAGACCCAGGACAGAGACTGCCCCAGGGTAATGCTGGAACCTTCACTATGTCCCTGTACACAGCTGTGAAGCCTCAGGCTGAGCTGGGGTGGGTGAGGGGTTGTCACATGACAAGACATGCAGGTAGTGAGACAAGTGCTTGCTAACTCAATGGGGCTTAGTCCTAGGAAATGCCTTTTTAAAAAAAGAATTTCATAAACATGTGCACTTCAAAATATTCATTTGTCCACCATGATAAATAGTGTTTCCATTCCAATGACAAGACGTGCAGCCTACCTGTGTTTTGGAATCAGGCCTTGCCCATGAAAGTTCACCATTTCTGCGGAGTTCAGCCATTTTGGAATTCAGTTGATGTGAGAGTATCACTGTAAGTGGCATACACTCATCCGTTTCATTTGTGGCATAGCCAAACATCAGTGCCTGAAAACATGATCAGCAATCAGTTTCATCTATGGCATAGCCAAACATTCAGTGCCTAAAAACATGATCACAGGGCTCCAGATAAGGGGCGTATGTACGGATATAAAATAAGCACAATGCAGTAGGAAATAATTTAGAAAACATAGCAGATACGCACCACAGCAATGGTGTACGGTCTTAGAATCATTTACAGACGTACTTATCTGAAAAAGTATTGTTTCATTGTTTATTGACCTGTTTACACAAGACTAGCAATGTTGTGGTGCATAAGCGAAACACAAGGTTACTGATACTCCATTAAATTCCATTCAGTACTCTAAATGCACTCTTATTGTTTTCCAGTACTCCTATATTGAAAAAATAAGGAGTACATACTCCTGATCATGAAAAATTATCTGGAGCCCTACGATCAGCAATCAGTTTCATCTGTGACGTAGCTAAACATCAGAGCCTGAAAACATGATTATTCAGTTTCATCTGTGGCATAGCCATAACAGTAGTGCTAGCTAAAGCCCTAAACGAAGCAAGTCTAGATTTCCCCAGGTTCTGAATCTCTGGTCTCCCTAGGGCTCCTTTTCAATTTAAATGGGCTTGTTTGTTACTATCAAAATTATATATGTTCAGAGACTAAGCCTTAGTCTACAGTAGTGCCTGAAAACATGATAGCAATCAGTTTCATCTGTGGTGTAGCCAAACATCAGAGCCTGAAAACACAATCAGAAATCAGGTTCACACAACAACAATATTTGATGCAACCTCCTCCAAGACATGCCAGAATATCCCATCACTTGGGACACATGCCACACAATAAGCCAAAGCTCAACCTGACCATTGAGACCTCTCAGGTCAGCTTTTACACAAACATGGGACAGTGATGACCTACCCTCCCCAAGAACCTCCATAATGATGCCCTTAACAATGGAATCAGAAGAGACAATGGTCTGAAGCTAATGCAAGGATGTAAGGAGTCTAGTACTTACAGTATCAGTTGACGGGGCATTGATAGACATGGACTCGTACGTCCCATTTTCTTCATCTGTTGATGGTACATGATCCTCCACAGCCAGCAGCACATTACAAGTGCTGTAGTCAAACCCTGCAACGTAAGGTTGTACTTGCTTGTACTGGCTGACTGACAGCAGGATAAAACTACTGACCCTTAAATAGAATTTGATCACCATACAAAATGGCATCAGTGCTTTGTATATATTCATATATCATGAAATTATTTTTATTAAGAAAACTTCAGTACAGCATTGTTCAGGTGAGTGAAACAAGTTAAAATTAAACAATGCAATCACACAGAAAGTAAACGTGCAACTGTTATCTGATCAGAACGCATGGTATGATCCATGATCACTACACTGCAAATATAGCAGACACAAAATATCAGTCTTAGGCAAAATTCTTCAAAAAATCCTTAGATCTATAATTTTGGTCTGCTGAAAGCATGTCTAAGCTGTAACAATGTTCTAAAGCTTGAAAAATAGAAAACTACTATACATCATGATACATTGAGGGCAGGTTAAGGAAAAGATCTAATACACTATTAACCGCTGTGTGTACCCACCCTTAATTGAAGTGTCGTAGCCTATGTGCTGAACAGTGTCCCTGATGACTTGCTGGTAGTTAGTTTCTGCCTTGGACACAATGTCTCCACAAACAAATACCATGCCTGTCTTGGCGGCAGTCTGACAGGACACACGGGAGAATGGGTCCTCGGCCAAATGAGCATCCAAGACAGCATCACTGATCAGGTCACAGATCTTGTCTGAAATGTATTAAAGTTGGGACTGATGCAAAGAGTGAGTGAGTGAGTTTGGTTTTACGCCGCTTTTAGCAATATTCCAGCAATATCACAGCGGAGGACACCAGAAATGGGATTCACACATTGTACCCATACGGGGCTGAAGCAAAGAGGACATGAATAGGTATTCATTATCTGCTAGATATCCATTACTTTGAACTAACGACAAATCGCATAGGATGTTTGAGAGAATATTGAAAAAGACTTGCTGGGAACAAAAGTTGGCCATGACACAACCCTAGTCCTATATCAACGCGACCCGCGATGGGGCCTTGCAAGTTACAGTCAAGACAGCGCCATGTCTTGACTGTAGGAACCCAATTTAATGGGCACTGCGGTTGTCGGCGAAATCTAATAAAGTAAGTAACATTGTTCCTCATTATGAACATAGCGAAAGGAGATATCACAAATGCAGCGAACTCATCGGATTAATGACAATGCCGAACAAAATTAGCTGCTAAAACAGTCTTGAAATTTCAGACTGCCTATGCGCAGAAACCGGGGGGCTTCATCATTCACGCATTCACAAACGCTTCAATAGGTGTATTACTCTCTTCTATTTCTGTGGGCTATTCGATTACATATCTACAGAAGCGAGAGAAAAATTAAAGGTTATGTAACCTGGATGTCCCTCTCCAACTGATTCTGAAGTGAACAAAAACGTCTCTCCATCATTTCGATGAACACCGGCCGCGTCTTCCGAATTGGACGCCGCCATTTTTGACGTCATGTGACTACAAAAAAAATGTAACAAAAGATTGAATAAATAAGAAACGAACAGGAGATAATTAAATATTGGTTAGTACACCGAACAATTACACATAACCAACTGTTTAAAAAAATGTACAAATTTTGATTTCATAAGAAAGCTTTTCTGGGGAGCTTACGAAAACTAACACCAGATCCAAGTCTAGTTAAATCAGGGAAAGTTATCTTCTTTGAATGGCATTTAGAAGTTGGTAAAGGGAAAATTCAATGGATATACAACTTCTTTCTTACAACGTGAGCGACAATTCGGTGCGGCTGCTAACACCGTTATCAAGCAAGTGATGAACAATGCTCAGACAAGGGATTATACATACATGAGAAATGTTTGTACAGTAAGTTGATTGATGTCAACACAATAGACAGTTATTGCTGGCCGATTAAATAAATAATTGAGTGAGTTTAGTTTTACGCCGCACTCAGCAATATTCCAGCTATATGGTGGCGATCTGTAAATAATCGAGTCTGGACCAAACAATCCAGTGATCAACAGCATGAGCATCGATCTGCGCAATTGGGAACCGATGACATGTGTCAACCAAGTCAGCGAGCTTGACCACCCGTTCCCGTTAGTCGCCTCTTACGACAAGCATGGGTTACTGAAGATCAATTCTAACCCCGAGCTTCTCGGGTTAATGAATGAATGAATGAATGAATGAATGAACGAACGAACGAACGAACGAACGAACGAACGAACGAACGAACGAATGAATTTCACAACATGTCGTTAAGATAGCAAAAAGAACATAACCGATAGCTCAAGTCTTTCTTAATGTGTTTAAACAGGACACAATGAACGTCTGAACGAACAGAACGAACGAACGAACGAACTGAATGAACGAATGAATTTCACAACATGTCGTTAAGATAGCAAAAGAACATAACCGATAGCTCAAGTCGTTTCTTAATGTATTTAAACAGGACTGATTGAACACGTCAAGTATGTATTTGCATTCTAAACACATTTTATTCAGTGAAGTCACTGTAGACGGGATTTACCGTGAAAGCTCTCGTATCAAAACAACAGATATAAAACTCACGTCTCTCGTAGGCTGTCAATAAGTACCCATGGCATTCGTGCCGCCGTAAGTGTGACAATATGACTCATACAGATCTATTCTTGTACAATACATACCCGGATTGGGCAGGTACTCAATGACAATACGGTTTCTAATCTCTTTGTGACTTCCTCGGCCAATGCGATGTCTTCTTTTCCAAATGATCAACCTTTGCTTTTAGTAAAATCTTTTAATGGCATTTAAAAATGATACACATGATAAGTTTCAAGGTAATTATTTTATTTATATTTTTCTCACGACAACAAATGCATATCGTATAAAACCTTTATAAACTTAATAAGCTTTTCACAGGAGTAATATTAAGGACATGCTGAACAATAGTAAGCACATGATGAACAATAGCAGCACATGATGAACAATAAGAAGCACGTGGTAATTTAAACAATAGCAAGCACATAATGAATAATAGTAGCATATGATGAACAATAGTAAGCATACGATGAACAATAGCAAGCACATGATGAACAATAGCAAGCACATGATGAACAATAGTAGCATATGATGAACAATAGCAAGCACATGGTGAACAATAGCAAGCACATGGTGAACAATAGTAGCATATGATGAACAATAGTATGCATACGATGAACAATAGTAAGCACACGATGAACAATAGTATGTACACGGTGAACAAACAGACAACAACCATGAGTGAGTATGTGGACCATGTATGTGTTAGGCTCACATCAACAGCAAGGTTTCTGTGAAATTGTACACTATCCTATAGGTTTGTTTTATTAACAGTTTGAATGTCCCCTTATATTCAACACGTATATACGTGTATTCGTGGAATACTAGTCTGTCTCACAGTCCCTGGACCACATTATTTTCCCAACAGCCTGTTTATAAACAAAGGGACACAACTCCGGGGTCACGAACATAAAATCACTGAATATATTTCGAAACAGTCCAATACAAATCTTTAATCTTGCGGCCAGTGCTTACATCATGGGTGACCAGAGACCATCGGTATATGTCTCTCGTTAACCACATAACAGATTCATAGGTGCGTGACTGGCCATGGACTTGCGCAGTCACGCTGGTTGATTGTCACTGGTAGGCAGAGCGTTGAGGGACAAGAGCAATAGACTTATGATGTGTTGTTTGCCTGCATACAATGAATAAAAATAGTGTAGGAAGCAAGCAGCATTCAGTTAACCTTTCCATGAAGTGTTTCCACAAATGATACGTCACAGCCGTCTAAATATTCCTTCAGACAGCTGACATTAGGTACACATGCCTGAGAGTGTGGATCTTGACGTGAACTCTGATAGGGTTTGCATAACAGAGATACGGGGTTCACCTGTATGTTCACAAGAGTGACCGCTGTCAAGGAGTTGAGTTTTTATAGTGTCGTTACTATGGTGGCTGATTAGGGCCATCGCTTTCTCGCCTTAAAATTCGGAGGCGAGAAAGCGAGAAAGCGATATCACGAGACGAGAAAGCGATAACACGAGACGAGAAAGCGATAGCACGAGACGAGAAAGCGATAACGCGAGACGAGAAAGCGATAACGCGAGACGAGAAAGCGATAACGCGAGACGAGAAAGCGAAAGCAATAACGCGAGACGAGAAAGCGATAACGCGAGACGAGAAAGCGATAGCACGAGAAGAGAAAGCGATACCATTACGCGAGAAAGCGATAAAGCGAGAAAGCGATAGAGCGAGAAAGCGAGAAAGCGATATACCAAGGCGAGAAAGCGATAGAGCGATATACCAAAGCGAGAAAGCGATAGAGCGAAAAAGCGATATACCAAGGCGATAAAGCGAGAAAGTGATAGAGCGAGAAAGCGATAGAGCGAGAAAGCGATATTTCACATAATTCTGCCCTGTCTGCACATGACGTCTTACCTGCGTATGATTTAATCCAACAGGAGGCTTTATTTTCATTTGGTTTAGTCGTATAGGAACAACATGAACATGCTTTCAAATTCTGTGGCATTTTTCTAATTAATCCTTCAACTTGTCCAAACAATAATCCAACCATAACTCCAGAAACCGAGTGTGTTTTCGTTGAAATAAATGAGTGCTCTTAAATAGTCTGTAAAAAGGATAACAATCATTTAATTTATTGTTACATCATTAATTAGGCTTGGATTAATTCCTGGCTTGCATTTCTTTATTGTCATTTCCCTTGTTAAATGCTACCATTGTTATCTCATTATTCATACCGGAATTAACAATCCCTGGCTTCCATTTGTCCATCCACCCTACCAATTTAGCGCTAATTAAGTACTGGCTTCCCTTGTTATCTAATCACTGTTGTTTCAAATGTACGTCTTTAGCTTTCTCTTCCTAGTTTCTAGTCTCTTCATTCACCTGATGAAGGATAAGAATATACTCCGTAACATCGTGTTCCAGTGCGGTGTTAAACAACAAACCATCCAAACGAACTCCCCGTCGGGCTTTATTGTATCAGTGATGGAATTTCATACACCATGTGCCTTTCATCTGGTCTTTTTATGTGTGCCTATTTCACACATATATATTTCTACTATTATGTGGAAAAGGTATTGTTTTAAATGTATGTGCCATCGTCTCCCATACTTCTACAAGAATGGCTTGTCTACATACTTATATGTCTGTCTGTCCCCATATCCCAACTATCTACTTGAGACAGTGCAACAAGTCATCGACCGACGTGATAGGTGTGTTTAACAAAAACGTAATATAATTATTACTTGGGGAATAAAGCACTATATCATAAAACACCTGTATATTGAAAATAATTTAGTTTAGATGGGGAGTTGAGAAGTTGGACGTAAGAGGTTTGGGAACTTGATTGGTATAAGTTCAACTAAGTAAGTAGTGTAAAGTATATAGTGACTTATTGTGCAGAACAGTTCAACTGTTGCTGATAACCTAATAAGGAGTCTACTAAATAGATGAAAAGGGGTTAAGTGTTAAAAAGTAGGGCTGGGGAGGCAGGGTACGGTGTTTATGTTTTGGTTGTAAAACGTGCGGTGTGTGGCCTTGACATTGTGAGTTAGTCTGGATAATCGAGTTTACACTGTAATGTGTGGCTAGATAGGGATGTTTTAAAGGGTTTATTCTGAATTTAAGGGTGCCTTTTTTTGTTTGGCGTTTTGATATTTTGTTTTCAGACCCAGTCTGGTAGTTATTGAGTAATTTGGTTTCTTCTAGTAACTACTATCTATAGTAGGTACTAGTCTTTGCACCTATGGCTTTTTTTATATATTGTAAGGAGTTTAGTTGGGGATAGAGAAGGACGGGAGCGACTCACTCCAGTGTGTACATGATAAATGTTTTGTAGATGTGTAGGAGGGTTTATTTGGCTGCAGTGATCTCAATGCTCACAATATGAAACATACATTTTAGAAAGTCCGATATGCTCATGTGGACTAGTAAAAATGAGGATAGTTTTCGCTTTTTCTTTACTTGTCCAGTATATACTGTAACTCGAAATAACATGTACTGTTACCAAAATGGATATACATTAGACTCAGTACTATTCGGAAATGCCCATGCAACTGCACCTGTAAATATGCAGATTCTTAAATCTGTGCATTTATATATCGTAAAATCAGGCAGATTTGACGCCCTTTTCTCATTTGTCTGCATCCCAGTGAATGTCACCTATTGCTCTCATTCGATTTGAATCGTTTTGACATGAGTTGACCAAGTTATAAACAAGATGATACAGGTAGATAGTTCCATATATTGAACGAGTTTCAAGTCCTCCTCTGGAAACGAAAATGTTACGAAAGGTTAATTGGATACACGCGTAACCAATCACTTTTTCAAAACCTATGCGACCACGTCCAGCTGTAGCCTTTACTTTACTTTTATTCTCAATAGACCACCAATGGTGGTATAAGAGTACATATCACACACATCAATTATTACATACAGTCAAAATGGCGGC